TGGTCCAGACCTGGAGTGGCCAATCAGGAGACTCAGAGAAATTCCCGGTGGGCCACTTACCTGTTATGCTGGTCAGAAACAAAATAAAATGCTAAAAAAAAAAACATATTTAAGTGTAATTTTTTGCGGCCGGGAACCAATTAATTGGTTTTCCATTATTTCTTTTGGGGAAAATTCGATCAAAACTCAAACTTTTTATGATTCAATCCAGAGTTATGAACGGATTAAATTCGAGTTCTGAGGTACCACTGCACAACAATATGCAACTAAGACAGAATTTGATCCTGAATTTTGGAGCAATACGTTTGGAGCAAATACTTCTCTGATGATACATCCACATATGACTATCTGCAGCTTTTTATTTAGACATCTTAACTTCTTATTTGAAGCAGACATTATTACTCATTCATAAGTAATAAAAGGAACATTTTCACCAGACTCATTTTAAGTGATAAGTTAATGTACAAAGTGTTCTGCTGATATCTGAAAAATGTTTACACAAAGATGGTTGAAAAACTGATGAAAAAGCTTCATACTCCTTTGAACTATGAGTCATATTTGCTACTACAAAATTCAACAAGAGAAAACAAACAAAAATCTTTTGTAGAAAGCACAAAATTCACGTTATCCAAGTCAACTGCCTATAAAAGCGTCCTTGAACATGGCGATGGTAACAATTTAAGAAGCCAGTAAAACCATAGCGCATCATTTCATTGGTTAGAAAAAAAACCAAAACTTTATTTTAACAACAGCCAGATATTCTAAAACAAACAAAAAAAAATTCTTCAAATATAAAATCCTCTTAGATGCTATAAATCATACACTAAAATGACAATGCCATTTTATGCAGGAGGGACAAGCAGCAGCTGCACTGAATTCAGAATGGTAAACAGTGCCAAACAGCCTGAGAAATACAATTACCCCCTTAATCACAAACACCCAATGGAATCAATCCGTCATACTTATGTTTTGCTGTTCTTTAGGACACACCGTTCTGAGAAAATAAAGTGAGACAAAAAAAGACACTGGAAATTTACAAGAACAAACACAAAGGAAAACCAGTACCAACCTTAAAAGAATACATATCCACAATAAAATATGACTTTGGACGGTGACACACTGAAGGCCAAATTGACAGTGAGAACATAGCGAGCAGCTGATGAGGACTCCTGCTGACACTCTGCTACAG